TACAGGGTAATCAAACTTAAAGACCCCAGAGGACTCCCCTCTAGTCTTAGGTTCAAAGTACAGCAAACCAAGATAAACTCTCTAGTAAAAGGTACATTTACAAGTTGAGAAAACAAAGTAAAACTAAGACGCCTTGCCTGGCTATTTACTTACAAGTTTGAAATAGGAGAGACTTGTTTAGAAAGATGTGGAGAACCTGGATTGATGTCTGGTCCCTCTCAGTCCCAAGAGCGAACGAACTCCCAAACAAAGAGCACAAACAAAAGCCTTCCCCCCTCCCCAAGTATTTGAAAGTATCTTGTCCCCTTATTGGTCCTTTGGGTCAGATGCCAGCCAGGTTACCTGAGCTTCTTAACCCTTTACAAGAAAAGGATTTTGGAGTCTCTGGCCAGGAGGGATTTTATAGTACTGTACACAGCACAGCTGTTACACCCTTCCCTTTATAGTTATGACAGTTGCTTACATTAGAGAAATTGTGCGAGTTTTGTTTTCAAGACAGCAGTGTGCCTCTACCTGGACTGACTCTGTAGCAGTCTTATTGCTCTATCATTACACATAACAAAAGCAGATGTAAGAGATATAAGATGGGTGAGGTAATATCTTTCATTGGACCAGCGTCTGTTGGTGAAAGAGACAAGTGTCACTCTCAGTACCTTTCCCAGACCTGAAGAAGAGCTCTGTGTATCTCGAAAGATTGTCTCTTTCACCAACAGACGTTGGTCCAGTAAAAAGATATTATCTCACTCACCTTATTTCTTTACTGTAGCCATGTCAGTCCCAGAATATTAATGCTCCATAAAAGCAGATATAGGTGGTTTGGCTGAAGGTCTCTGTAATCCAGTTATCCGCATAACATGGGGTGATAACTTTTAGGTATTTCCTTTTTTTTCCCCAGCAAGTTCTCATCTCTCTTTTCTTTCCCTGTCTCTCGCCCCCCCCCCAATCAAAAATTTTTTTTCATTGAAATCTGCAGATTTTTCCATTCACTTGCCTTGTGGGTTTCTGAAATTCATCAATTTGTCTCAATTTTTTCACATTTTAATTTCTTTAGCCTTTCTTTTAACCTTTAACCTTTGAAAGAAATATGTTCTACAGAAGGAGATCCCAGCAATTCCCTCCCAATCTTTTATTATGTCTTGAATCTTAAAAAGGAGTGTGAATTTTGTAAGGTAAATTGGCTTTAAAGTAGAAACTAGGGCTGTCAAGAGATTAAAAAAATTAATAGTGATTAATCGCACTGTTAAAAATAATAGAGTACCATTTACATATTTTTTGACTTTTTTCTACCTTTTCAAATATATCGATTTCAGTTACAACAGAGAACACAAAGTGTACAGTGCTCACATTATATTTATTTCTGATTAAAAATATGTGCACTGTAAAAAACAAAAGAAATAGTATTTTCAGTTCACCTAATACAAGTACTGTAGTGCAATTTCTTTATCATGAAAGTTGAACTTACAAATGTAGAATTATGTACAAAAAAATAACTGCACTTAAAAACAAAATAATGTAAAACTTTAGAGCCTACACGTCCACTCAGTCCTATTTCTTGTTCAGTCAATCGCACAGACAAACAAGTTTGGTTACAATTTATAAGAGATAATGCTGCCTGCTTCTTGTTTAAGTGTCACCTGAAAGTGAGAACAGGTGTTCGTATGGCACTATTGTACCCAGGGTCGCAAGATATTTATATGCCACCTGCATTAAAGATTCATATGTCCCTTCATGCTTCAACCAGCATTCCAGAGGACATGCGTCCGTGCTGATGACTGGTTCTGTTTGATAATGATCCAAAGCAGAGCGGACCAACGCATGTTCACTTTCATCATCTGAGTCAAATGTCACCAGCAGAAGGTTGATTTTCTTTTTTGGTGGTTCCGCATCTAAGTGTTGCTCTTTTAAAACTTCCAAAAGCATACGCCTCGTCCTTCTCAGATTTTGGATGGCACTTCAGATTCTTAAACCTTGGGTCGGATGCTGTAGCTATTTTTAGAAATTTCAGATTGGTACCTTCTTTGCGTTTTATCAAATCTGCTGTGAAAGTTTTCTTAAAAAGAACATGTGCTGGGTCATCATCCAAGACTGCTATAATATGAAATATATGGCAGAATGCAGGTAAAACAGAACAGGAGACATACAATTCTCCCCCAAGGAATTCAGTCACAAATTTAATTAACACATTATTTTTTTTAATGAGCATCATCAGCATGGAAGCATGTCCTCTGCAATGGTGGCTGAAGCATGAAGGGGCATAGAAATGTTTAGCATGTCTGGCACGTAAATACCTTGCGACACCGGCTACAAAAGTGCCACGCAAACGCCTGTTCTCACTTTCAGGTGACATTGTAAATAAGCAGGCAGCCTTATCTCCTGTAAATGTAAACAAACTTGTTTGTCTTAGCAATAGGCTGAACAAGGAGTAGGACTGCGTGGACTTGTAGGCTCCAAAGTTTTACATTGTTTTGTTGAGTGCAGTTATGTAATAAAAAAAATAAAATTCTACACTTGTAAGTTGCACTTTCACTATAAAGAGATTGTACTACAGTACTTGTATGAGGTGTATTGAAAAATACTATTTATTTTGACATTTTTACAGTGCCAATATTTGTAATAAAAAATAACAATATAAAGTGAGCAGTGTCTACTTTGTATACTGTGTTGTAATTGAAATAAATATATTTGAAAATGTAGAAAAACATCCAAAACTATTTAAATAAATGGTATTCTGTTATTGTTTAACAGTGTGATTAATCGTGTGATTAATTTTTTTAATCGTTTGACAGTCCTTTTAAAAACTATTAACTATCAAGGCAGAAACAATGGATGTATTATGCTTGTGCTCTCAGTGATAACTCTATTATAACTATTTAAGGTAATACTTCCAAATAAACTAACACTTTCCTACTAAAATATGGCAACTAGGCAGACACTAATTTTTATATAATATGCCTGGCAGGGGCAGAGCATTCCTCTCGTTTAAAAATAGCAAGATCAATGTTCGGTGAATTTTGATATGTTCTTGGAAAGTATTTTTGTTTTTGAAACTGTTTCATATTACAGAAAGCTATCAGAAAAGTATGTTGTAGTGAAAATTAAACATGGAGGCCTCTCTAATACAGGTAGTCTTCACTATTCACAAAAATGTTTCTTTAGTAACAACTGAAAAGGTGACGGTTTCTTGGTGTTTTGAATTTATCTGGTTTCAGAGTAGCAGTCATGTTAGACTGTATCTGCAAAAAGAACAGAAGTACTTGTGGCACCTTAGAGACTAACACATTTATTTGAGCATAAGCTTTCGTGGGCTACAGCCCACTTCATCAGATGCATAGAATAGAAATTATAGTAAGAACATATATATGAAAAGGTGGAAGTTGCCATACCAACTCTAAGAGGCTAATTAATTAAGATGAGCTATTATCAGCAGGAGAAAAAAAAACTTTTGTAGTGATAATCAAGATGGCCCATTTCAGACAGTTGACAAAAAGGTGTGAGGATACTTAACATGGGGAAATAGATTCAATTTGTGTAATGACCCAGCCACTCCCAGTCTCTATTCAAGCCCAAATTTAATGGTATCAAATTAATACCAAATTAATGGTATCACCCACTATTTCACATTTGGAGACAACATATACCTTCAAGTCAGCGGCACTGCTATGGGTACCCCGATGGCCCCACGGTATGCCAACATTTTTATGGCTGACTTAGAACAATACTTCCATAGCTCTCGTTTTCTAACGCCCCTACTCTACTTGCGCTCCATTATTGACATCTTCATCATCTGGACCCATGGAAAAGAAGCCCTTGAGGAATTCCACCATAATTTCAACAATTTCCATCCCGCCGTCAACCTCAGCCTAGACCAATCCACATAAGCAGTCCATTTCTTGGACACTACTGTGCTAAACGATGGTCACATAAACATCACCCTATACCAGAAACTTACTGACTGCTATACTTACCTACATGCCTCCAGCTTCCATCCAGGGGACACCACACGATCCATTGTCTACAGCCAAGCTCTAAGATACAACCGCATTTTCTCCAATCCCTCAGACAGAGACAAACACCTACAAGATCTCGATCAAGCATTCTTAAAACTTCAGTATCCACCTGGGGAAGTGAAGAAACAGATTGACAGAGCCAGAAGAGTACCCAGAAGTCACCTAGTAGAGGACAGGCCCAACAAAGAAAATAACAGAACGCCACTAGCCGTCACCTTCAGCCCCCAACTAAAACCTCTCCAGCACGTCATCCGAGATCTACAGCCTATCCTGAAAGATTATCCCTCACTCTCACAGAACTTGGGAGACAGACCAGTCCTCACTTACAGACAGCCCCCCAACCTGACGCAAATACATTTTGAAGGATGTATAATGCGGCTATATTCAGTATATGCCAAGATATTTACCGTTCTCTACAATAAGTAGGCATTCTCTTTGTCACTAGCTTATGAAATGTTGAGATAATGCTGTGTGTCCAGATTCTAAAATTGCTATTGGTATATTCTTTTAATCAGAGAGGCTGGTGGTGACTGCTGAACACTGTGAAAAGAGTCTGGAAGATTTGCTGCGAGAGAGGAAACCTGTGAGGTACAGTATCAGGGAAAACATAGGGAGAGAACACAGTAACCAAAAGCTTTAGATACTTCGTCATTTAAAGCGCAGACACAAATACTCTTTAACAAAACAAACAAACTACTTTTATGGATCCATATTAATTTAATGCTTATATTGGCTAATATTTAACCTTTAAAGCACTGTCTTCCAGACTGCAAGACTTAACACTTGCTTAGGAGGCTTTGTGTATATTTCTTCAGACTCTAAAAGGTGAAGAATTTTAAAGAGAAATGTTTAAAATTAAGAAATACTTTTCTGCACACTAAACCTTGTTTTTATTTTAATAAGTGCTCTATTTTGGAATAGAGTGAAAGTTAAGAGAAGCGATTAGCATTTACATAAAAATCAAAATGTAAAAACAGTGTTTACAAAGATTTGGCAGTTGAGGTTCACAGTTCTGACACAAATGCAAAAATTTTCACAATACATTTCTACACAAGTAATACAAATGTAGGTGTGTGAGTTTTTGCATACAACACAGTTCTAATGTGAAGTTCTCCATCAAGTTTGGTCTTTACAGATACTACAGTAATGCATTCTATGGTCACTACTGTGACTCTTATTGCAACTTTAAAGTTGTAATTACTGTAAGGAGAGAAATATTATCGTTAGTGGTTTCAGAAGGGCATATGTGACTTAGCACATAAATCTGTCTTTATCTGTATATGTAGAAGGTTTATACACAACACGAAGAAGACCATGTTAGTAGCTCCCTAACAATTTCCTCTCTGTTTATTATGTGAGTTAAGTAATTTCTGTGGGCACTGTGTCCATATTATATTTCCATAATAATTCACACTAAGGTTGCACAGTTAACCATGCTGCTCTGTATCTGTGACAGTAAAGAATGAACATGCCATCCTAACTTTTCCCTTTGTGCATACCAATAAGTATTACAATACAGTATTTACATATTAAATACTAATTCTCAACTATATTATAGAGTTTTTGGTACTTTGTAAGGTAACATAACGTGATATCTAAAGATAACCCAATATCTGAAGACTGCATTTTAAGGAGCAAAGTTAAAGGTTGAATGCAGAACCTTAACTTTCATGCTTTCATACCTGTATATATGCTGTGTATTCATATGGGGCCTGATCCAATGCCCATCAAAGTCAATAGGAAACTTTCCATTAACTTTGGTGGGCTTTGGAGCAGTCCCTTTCATACTCCTATGAAGCTTTAGAAATAATTAAAGTAGGAGAAACCCCCCCTCTTACCTTGCTCTACTATACTACTTTCTCATGGTCCTCCCAAAAATGTATGTTTTAGTGTGGGATGTCAGGGAGCACAGATTGACTACTGCCTCTTGGCTAGTTTTGAGAAAAGTCCACTTAAAATAAAATAGCTATTTGTTTTGGATTAAATAATAAGATGCCTGTACAAAGGCGTAAGTGCCCTGGCAGTTAATTTTACAATAACCCCAGCAACAATAAAACAGTTGTTCAAACAACCCTCAAAAAAAAAAATTCCTGTTTTCCCTCCTTTTAGGGAAATAGCCTCAATCTTCTCTAAAAGTCTTCTTAATTAAATAATATATTTTGCAGTAGTGGCTCCTGGCTCATTTGCTTGTGCAATGCATTTTTCAAGCCCCCTGACTACTGTTCATTTTTATAGCACTTGAAGATGTCTTAGGGAATTTCAAAAATGATGTACTAACTTTGTTCAGTTGTTATGGTTTGTCTTCACAGCAAGCAAAGTTATTCATTCTCGGTAATGACTAACTGCATTAGTATTCAGAATTTCTGCCATTTTTGCTGTGGCTCTGTCCTGAAAGTGGGAGAAGTTTGTGTGGTGGTGTGTTTTTTTGGTTTTATTTTTGAGTGGGGAGGAAATATGATGTTGAGGTTTGGATTTTTTTTCCATTTAACACAAAAATTCTGAAAAGCTTCTACTGAGAGGTTAAAATAAATCTGAGTTTAGGTATTGAAACTTATTTCCAAACAGGAATTTTTAAAGAAATAATGAGCATATGAAATGGAAAGTAATTCCTGTATCCTCAGTATAGTAGGTGCTACTGCTGCAGTTGATAGCATATGTAATAGAAGCTAAAAGATAAGTTATGCTTCTCTGCAAGCAATGTTTCCAGTGAGACTAACACAAATATTTCCCCTTTACTTGTCTTTTGTGAGACCCATCAATAGCCAGAAATAATTTGGACAGGAGCAATTCCCAGTTATTTGATCTGTCTGTCTGTTAGCTTTGTAGAGACCTGTTTGGCTTTTTCCACATATTCTGATTGAATTAGTCTATGATAGCAGAGCAGGTTTAATACCCAGAGCTGATGTGTATGCTATTGTAATTAATTTAATAAACTGTTTATGGAATGGAGAAGCTGCTCTTATGGTTTCTAGATTAGTTTTTCCCATGCTTGCTAGAAACTAAGTCCTTTGCACCTGTACCACAGGTTGATGTAAAGTCAGCAGGAAATCTTCTATTAGGTTAGTGTTGAAATTCAAGACGTACCATTGTGGACTGTCCAGCTTTCCATACATATTGCAAAACAACAGGCTGTCCAGCTGTCTGGTAGTTATTTGCAGTTAGTTATCTAAAGTCATGCATCACTTATGGCACACACTACTTGCAGTCTGTTTTACGTTTTTTTCTTTTAAAAGTGAACAAGAGCATCCTTCATGTTTAAAGTTAACTATCCTCAAAGTTTGACCAGGATCTCTTACCTATGGGTGGGTTCATCAGAATTAATTTTTTTGGACTCCTGGCCTCTGCTCTGCTGTAGGATAAGCACAATGTGGTAACTACTTGTACTGGGAAATGGGAGTATGGAGCCACCGCTGCTGGTCCTGGGGCTGGCCACACTGCTGGACTCATTCAGTTGTCTCCATTTCACACAGAAAAAGTTATTTCCAGAACCTGGAGTATTCGAAATTTAATTCCCATTTTAAATGAGAGTTTAAATGATGCAGGGCTGCCTGCAAAGTGCTGATACTTACCACCACTGCATAATGGCTCAGACCAGACTCCCTCAGGAGATAGAGACAAAACTATTCCTTCCATGCTCGCTATTTCCTGGGAGACAAATTAAAACCATCTCAGTGATGTTAGTCATGGGGAACAGTGCAGGCAGTGCTAGGAATTGATGCATTCACAAAATAACAATATTAAATTGCATTTATGACAACATTTCCGTAGGATGTGGGCAGCATGGCTACACAGGCCCTTGAGGCACTAGAAAAAGCCAGTCAAATGTTTGCACACGTGTGTGTGTGTGTGTGTGTGTGTGCGCGTGCGTACACACACACACACACACACACACACACACACACACACACGTACGTTAC